ACGTTTTTCCTAATCGGCATGTTGACCTCCACAACTCCGATCTCCTTAGTGCAATATTTGCTCTTCTAGGCCCGATGCCCAAACTCATGACATGAAACACATCGACCGATCCTTCGGCTCGATGTCCAATCTTATGACATGTTACACTCCGACCAAACATTAACTCTTCCTATTTTAATTATCTCTTCATGATCGAAGCTACTCTTGTGTCACTCAAAACGTAAAATATTATTCAAATTCAAATCATCAAAATCACTTTCATAGTTCAAGAGATTCAAAATAATATAAATAGATTTATCAATCTTTTATTCAAAACTCAATAAGATTAAAAAAAATTTGAGAAAACTATTTCCCTCTTTATAGTTGTTTCAATTCATATGATTTATCTCATACAAGCATGCCTTTGTCATTTATACCAAACAAAAATATGCATCATGTTTAAAACTGAAAAAGCCACTTTCATTATGGTAAAAATCGATAATCCATAAATCGCAAGAATCATCATGCATAATTTCGAAAGATAAACTCATTAAGCATGATATCAAATCATTACTCTAAATCATCATGCATAATTTAAATATAAAATTGTCAAGCATGATACTTACATTATTTCATATAAGCATATATTTTTCTTTTATACCATATCAAAAAATATATCATTTTTAAAACCGAAAACATAACTTTCATTACAGTACAAAGATCGATAATCCATAAATCACTAGAATCATCATGCATAATTTTGAAAGACAAACTCATTAAGCATGATCTCAAATCATCATTACATTATTTTATTAAAACATTAAGCATGATTTCAAAACATTTAATATTTTCATTACATCATTAAACATGCAATTTTCATAACCATTTTCAAAATTAGCTTAGAAAAGGAAAAGCATGATCCCCAATTTTTTTAGCATTTTCATTACACTATTAAACATGCAATTTTGAAGAAAAATATTTTTTTAAAAAATTAAATTAAAAATAACTTACCTCATTGTCAAAAGTCGTTAAGGCGTAGTTTGCCAAATCGCCTTTATTGATTTTCTTCTCGTCTTCGGATGAGCTCGATTCGTCCCAAGGTGGTTTTCTCTTCTTGCGTTCATAGCATGTAGTTGCATTCTTTTTAGTTTACCTTTATTCTTTGATTCTTGTTTTAAGAGTTTTTTAAGATTTATTATGAGAAGTTCAAGGTCATCATCATCATCATCGCTTGAGTCATTACTCAAGTGGCATTCTATTGTTTAAAGTGTCAAATCCTTCCTGTTCTTTGGAAAGTGGTTCTCATGTTCGTCAAGTGCATCATGAGTCATTTCATAGGTCATTAAGGATCCGATAAGTTCTTCAAGTAAAAATTTATTTAAATCCTTTGTTTCTTGTATTGCCATTACTTTTGATTCCCAATTTTTAGAAAGAGATCTTAAGATCTTGTTAACGAGTTCAAAATTAGAAAAGCATTTATCAAGACCTTTTAAACCATTGATGATGCGTAAAACAGGTATACATGTCAACAATGGTTTCGCTTGGCTTCATTCGAAAAAGTTCAAAATCATGTATTAAAAGATTTATCTTAGAATCTTTTACTCTACTAGTACCTTCGTATGTGATTTCAAGAGTATGTCATATATCGAAAGCTGTTTCACAAGTAGAAACCCGATTAAACTCAGTTTTATCCAAAGCGCAAAATAAGGCATTCATAGCCTTTGCATTTAAAGAGAAACTCTTCTTCTCCAACTCATTCCAATTGTTTATAAGAAGAGAAAGACTTTTAAAAATCAAATTCGACTATATTCCATAAATTGAGATTCAACGAAAGCAAGAAAACTCTCATTCGAGTTTTCCAATATGTGTAGTCCATCCCATTGAACGTGGGAGGACGAATGAGAGAGTGACCCTCTTGAAAGCAGAAAAGAGTCATTTCTCTTTGGGTGTTAATCCAAATGAGAAAAACGTGGCTCTGATACCAACCGTTAGGAACGAGTCGGCACTAAGAAGGGGGGGGTGAATTAGTGTAGCGGTAAAAATCACATCAGTTTAAAAAATCTCATTACGATTAAACCCGTTTCAAAATATGTTAACTTGAAAGCATACGGAAGAGTGTAGTGGATGTAAAGCAATGAGAGTAAAGATGGGCAGTTTATAGTAAATATAAATTGCAAGAAGTAAATGCAAACTAAGTTATAGTGATTCGGTAGTCATGACCTACATCCATTCCACCAATTCCTCTTTCGTCGAGGCCACTAGCATCAACTAATGATCTTCCTTTAATAGACGAAGATCAACCTCCTTCTTACAACTCTATTCTCCTTTTGCAGGCTCAGGAGAGAACCTTTACACCCCCTTTTTACAAAGCTTCCTTCACACTCTCCCATAGAATGCTCTCTAAACTTTAAGAGGAGGGACTCTATACTTTACAAGGGTTTTTAACTCTAGAAATATAGAGTTTTTGTTCACTTTCCATCCTTCTCCATGCAGGAATAGCTAGGGTATTTATAGACCCCAAATGGCTTCAAAAATAGAGCCAAAATTTAAATCTCCAAAATTTCAAGGTATAGGCAGTACCATCGCCTGCACTGGGCGCACCATCGCCTGCAGCCTGACATTGGGTGGTACCACCACCCAGTACATAGTTTCGGAGACTGTACCACGACGGTTTCACCTGTTTGGTCATTGTTTGGGCCTTTCTCTTGGCCCAACACAGCCCAAACTTGGGCCCAATTGTCCCCTAATTGGGTTGGCCCAATTCTAATCCTAATTATGTGATAACTATGAATTTTAAGATATTTACTAAGCTAAACAAAGTTTGTAAGTCTAGGTTTCTTCCGTCGAGCTTCCGGTGATCTTCCGGCAAACTTCCAACGATCTCTCGACAATGTTCCAACGGACTCCCAGCAAGCTCCTGGGCTTCACGACGATCTTCTTAGAGAGTTTCGATGAGCTTCTTTGGCAAGCTCTTGGACTTCTCGGTCAATTCCGATAGAACTTTCGATGAACATCCGGACTTCCAACGAACTCTCGAACTCCCAATGAAATCGCGTTCTTGACTCCAAGACTTCATTTTACTTTATGCCTTGCTATCGAAGTTAATCCTGCACACATAAAACACACTTCAATCTAGATAATTATTACTAAACATGAATCATGTTGTCCGGCATGTCATTGGTCCATCAACGCTTCATCCGATTCTTCAGCGCATCGTCCTCTCTTGTGGCCTATTGCCCAATCGGCCAGTTGACCTCTGCAACTTCAATATCCTTGGCACAATATCCACTCTTCTTAGTCCCATGCTCGAAACCATGGCCCGAAGCCTTCTGTCAATACGTCGATCGATCCTCCAGCGCGATGTCCAATCTTCTGATGTGTTTTTCTCCGACCCAACATGATTCTTCCTGTTTTAATTGTCTCTCCCTGATCGAAGCTTCCTGTATCACTCAAAACACAGATTAAATCATAAATACTATCAATTGGTTTTATCATCAAAATTCGAGATTCAACATCAACTATCATAGCCTCTTAGATTACTAGATCTCTATCCAATAATCTCTCATTGGCTCTTATTTGATCTCATCCATAGGATCCAATAATTCAGGGGCTTATTGGATATCCAATAAAATAGAGGCTCTGATGGATATCTCATATTCAAATCTCTGCTTGTCACCATGCCTACCATATGTGTGTGATCCTCTTGGCCGAATATCGAGCTAGCCGTGAGTTATACCTATCAGAACTCTTCTAGCTTAGTGAATTATTATTTCTATAATAATTCACTCGACTCATCGATTGCGAACGTACTAAACCACAACGCTGCAATCCCTAGATGATACTGGGGAATCCAATCTATTTGACCTATTTGTCCTTAGTTATCGTGTATCTATAATCCATCTTCCATATATATGTATGTATGTATATATATATATATATGTATGTATATG